CAATAGCAAAAATCCGTTAAAACATGGTAGAAATATTAATGCTTAGGTCAAAAGCAAATTGGTATGGAAATGGGGAGAAAGCGACAATATCTTATTGTGATTTAGAAAAAAGCATCAAGGGGATCCACTGTCTCCATATCGTTTTATAAATGGAGTAGAACCTTTTGTCGTTTGCAATTTAATCAACTAATGGTATTAAAGGACTAGTTATATCTGGAAACGAGTTTAAACTTGGACAACATGCTATGATGCCTATCCTTTACTTGCTGGCATTTGTCAGTCTCTGTACACGGTAGTGCATTATCTGGACTAAAGATAACATAAGTAAAGAGATTTGAATCTTAAAGGGTCTACATCTAACTTCAGGTTGTTTTTTCACTTGTACTACAAGTAATGGAAAGGCTAAATTTTGAACAGACACTTAAACAAATAAATATATTTTTAAGATAATGGAAATACAAAGACCTCATCTGGTTGGTCGTATTTCACTTGTAATACCAATGTTTATTCACCTCTTTACTTATCTCCCAAATCCAACACAAAAACTCATCAACACATTTAATAAAACTCATATGGAATTTTAAGTGGGAAAGGGTCAGAAAAGATACAGTCATTGATATAATAAAGGAAGGAGGCCTCAATATGACACAAATTACAACCTTCATGAAATACATCAAGGTCAAACGGATACAAAGATTATATGGAGATCAAAGTGTCCTTTGGAAAGAACTTTTCTGACATACTATTTCTGACTTAATATGGCACACTATAGCTTTCTTAACTCTGACAGGCTATAGCTGACATAAACTTGACACAATATAGCTGACTTAACACCGAGGCACTATAGCTGACTTAACCCTGGCATACTATAGCTGACTAAAACTTCAAACACTATAGCTTATCTAAATCTGACACACTATAGCTGACTTTACTTTGACACACTATAGCTAACTAACCCTGACATTATATACCTGACTTAACCCTGACACACTTTAGCTGACTACACTCTGACACACTAAAGCTGCCTTAACCCTGACACATTACAGCTCTGATCGACTTTGTTTTATTTAAATATGACATACTATATCTGACCTTACCCTGACATACTATAGCTGACTTTAACTTGACACAACATAGCTGACTTAAGCCTGACACATTATAGCTGACTTATGCCTGACACATTATAGCTGACTTAAACATGACACATTATAGCTGACTTAAACTTGACAAATTATAGCTGACTTATGCCTGACAAATTATAGCTGACTTAAATATGACACAGTATAGATGACTTAAATCTGACACACTATAGCTGACTTAACTCTGACACACTATAGCTGACTTTACTCTGACATACTATTTCTGACTTAAACATGACACACTATAGCTGACTTCAACTTGACAAAATAATGCTGACCTAACTCTAACAAACTATAGCTGACCTTACTCTGTTAGACTAAAGCTGACTTAAACTTGCCACAATATAGCTGACTTAAGGCACGCACACTATAGCTTACAAAACGCTGACACACTATAGTTGACTTTACTCTGACACACTATAGCTGACTTAAACTTGAAACACTATAGCTGACTAAACTCTGACATACTGTAGCTGCCTTAACCCTGGCACACTTTAGCTGACTACACTCTGACACACTAAAGCTGTCTTAACCCTGACACATTACAGCTCTGACCGACTTTNTATAGCTGACTTAAACTTGAAACATTATAGCTGACTAAACTCTGACATACTGTAGCTGCCTTAACCCTAACATACTACAGCTGACTTTACGTTGACACACTATAGCTAACTTAACCCTGACATAGTATAGCTGACTTAACTCTGACATACTGTAGCTGCCTTAACCCTGACACACTATAGCTCTGACCGCCTTTTTTTACTTAAATATGACACACTATATCTGACCTTACTCTGACAGATTTAATCTGGCTTAAACCTGTCACAATATAGCTGCCTTAACCCTGACATACTATAGCTGACTTTACTTTGACACGATATAGCTGCCTTAACCCTGACATACTATAGCTGAGTTAATCTTGACACACTAAAGCTGACTTAACCCTGACATACTATACCTGGCTTAAACTTGACACAATATAGCTGACTTAAGCCTGACACTTTATAGCTGACTCAAACATGGCACATTATAGCTGACTTAACTCTGACACACTATAGCTGACTTTACTCTGACATACTAATTCTGACTTAAACATGACACACTATAGCTGACTTCAACTTGACACAATAATGCTGACTCAACTCTGACACGCAATAGCTATTTGATAAACAGAATCAACACGAGCAGAAGACAAACCTTGAAAACTGGTAACAGATAATGTTTTACTACCAAATGGTAAGATTGATACACAACCAATATATAACAGGAAATACACAGTATTCACTGACATGCACTGTCATTTCATCACCTAACCATATAACAAAAAAATCTTCCATGACGTTTGTTACAGAACATATGAGAGAAACTATGTAAATCTCATTGAAAGAGATACAAATTTGTCGACGTTCTAAGAAATAGATGTGTGTGTGGAAGGGAGACTGAAGAAACATAGTTCTAAATAGTTACCAAGTACTTTATACTTTGTTTTGCCAAATTTTAGCAGCACTGTCACTCGGCGTTCGTTCTTTTAGTTTGTTTTCTAACATATATTTACATTTCCTTGTCAAAACTATTGTTTTGTTTTATTGCTTTGATAATAATTGATAAACCAAGGCGACAATACTGTATATATACATTTCCCAATATTTAATGGCAGTCATTTTTATCATTATGATTTAATGATTCCAAATAAATATCTCTACAAAATATGATCATTACATAAAACATACACTGTAGTTTGTTTGTTTTTATATAGTATTTCCTATCGATTACATGCTTAAACATTGATTTATTTTGTGATTAAGTAAATCGCTTATGCGTGACCTTTACTTCTTAATCTAATTTTCAGATAAATGTTATTTATACTCAACTCCTACATAGTGCATGTTTATATACTTTTTGTATTGTCAGTTTTGATTTTAATATTGCGATTGTAGGAAATGACGTCCAACTCAGAAGAAATACGGTACAGCCGGAGCCACAAGCTGCCACATCAGGTTAGTGTATTATCCACGAATGTAATACATTTAACTCTATGTTAGGTCAAATATATATAAAGTAAAACACGAAAGCATCATGGTCACGATGTCTCTTTAATGTTGCCCTCAAACAAAACTTGTTAATATACAAGTCAATTGTTTTAAAATGGTTTAAATGTCTATTAAGTATGGCATTAGGTAAACTCGTACTTTCTATTTAAACTTTTCCAGGCGGCGCAGGAGAGTTCCACAAGACGACAGATACCACGTTATCGTTTGCTAAGCTTCAGGCGATGGGTAAATCTGATCTGAACAAGTCTGTTGGAATCATCAAAATCAAAATAAATGACCAACTGGAGTCTGGAACAGGATTTCGTTTTGGGGAAAACTACGTCATGACTGCTTATCATGTGTTTGAAGGGATTGTCAGTACGTATAACTGTTATTTCTATTTATTAATTACTGAATTATGTATTAACTAATCGTCAAATATATTATTTATTACTTCTACCAAACACAAATTTTGATATACAATATAATAGTTAGTAGTATCACTAAATGGTTGCATATATATGCAAAGGATTATAAATACTATTTCTATTATGCTAGATGTTTCATAATTGTGATCTTATATTACAGAACACGTTTGGAAGTTAGTAATGGCTATAGTTGAACAGAGCGACAAGAAGGAAGCTATTTATCAGAAAATCAGCACTATGTTTAGTAGGTCGTCGGCTGACATTGATCCAAAGCGTCAAGCTCTCCCATTCGGACATCTGTTTGAATATTTGCATACAATGGGCCTGCCAATAGAAGGTATTAGATGTTTCACATGTTCCAACTTGATATGTGTATTAATATGTATTTACAAGATACTATAGTCAAGCATTATGCTGTAATTACACATTGATCAATTCAGATTCTTCATTTTAAGATGTATCATCGTTCAAAATATCTATCATTGAAACACAAACATATTGGTGTTTTTTTAGTATTAAACCAAACATATATTGTCACTTCTGATTTCATTATAATGGAATATTCCCTGACATTTTACAGTGTTTGAGGAAAAATGGAAGGACGCTGTCAACATTGAATTCGGTGTCAGAGAGGGCAAAACGACTGCCGGAGAATTTAACTTCGAGTACAACATACCGTTTGCTGACAGTGATCACGACGTTGTGGTTCTGCAGATCAGCAAAGGTAGTAAAGGCCTTCCCCCACCACTGACCCTTGCGAAGTACATGGTTGCGGATAAGGTCCATCTGTTTGGTTATCCGATAGGCTCGACCGAAATCGATTTGAGTTCTGATATAAAATGTCGCATTTACGCTGACAACCGAGAACTTACTGGGGATGTGACAAAGGCCATAGAGTGGTGGCGGAAAGAAAAACGTAGACCCGTTAAAAATGAGTACGCTGTTTGCCATTATATCAATGACAATCATACAGACACTGGAAAAATATTCCTCCATACTTCAAAGCAGTTCGAGCGCGGATCATCTGGCTGTCCGGCCATCACGTTCATCAACGAACAACCCGTTGTACAACTAATGTACTTGAGGGGTTATCCGGAGTTCTGCTACAAGGAAGGGACATTTCCTCCACCACAGTACTTGTTTGAGGCAGGTGTATCCATGCCGGTGGTAACACGACTCCTGCAGGAATGCTGTCGTCAGATCATGGCGTAGATAAAACAAACAGACAAACAGGCCTTCAGGGAGTATCAGACGAGGCTCTGGACTTTATACTATCATGTAACTTTGTGTTTCGGTTGATACTTGATTATATGACGTTTGCAATATTTTCTACGATAATAATAATAAAATGAAATTAGTTTTACACATTTTTCCATCGTACATTGTAGCATTTTGAATAGCAGCTGAACTTTTTGACATCAGTTTAAGATACAATATATGTGACCTATTCCGCGGACACTTGTAAATAAACACTGTCACAAAAATTTTACGCATAAACTCCTTGTGAAATTCAGTGGTGTAGGTACAACTGCTTGAAATCCAGAGCCGTTAATCATTGTTGGGTTTTAATAACCCTTTTAACAAGTGCAAGCCTGGTGATTTTTTATGGAAGTATTGTATTTTTCCCCATATTCCCCCTTTCGAACCTTCCAATATTGGATAGACAATGTAATTTTAGCAACATCTTAGAGTTTAAAACATATTTGCAAATCAATGATTGGGGATATTTATGTAATTATTTGCGGTGCTAAAGTATTAGGAAGAAAAATGAGCCACTGTATCCGACTACTCGTGAGGCGTCCAAGCATTATCAGTGACTTTCTTTGATGACTTCTGTTTAGTGGACATTGTCGAAATATAAATTGGCTTTCATTGGGACTCTATGGACATTAAAATTTTATTGTTACTTAAGATAAATAATATCCGTTGTAAATACGACGAAAAATACCAGTGATTTATAAAAAAAAATGTAAAATTAAATGTATGAATCAATGTAGTCATGGGTCCACTCATATTGCCGGTTTCCTGACCATGTGTGACGAGAAGAACAATGGTTTTCAAGGTCTTTGTCTAGATATAGAACGATTTCACACTCATTCCCCCATACGTTTGTGTGTATGTGTTAATTTAACGGCTTACATTGATCAGCTGATCGCCACGCCTCTGATGAAGTGCAGTGAGTTTAAGATTTTTAGATTCACTTTCCCGTTTATCTCTCCTATTCACTCCCGTTGGACATCAACAGATTGAAAGCAGCCTTGCATATTTGAACAAGTTTGTAACATTGGCAAAACAAATGCAGGTTGAAACCCAAAGGGGATGAATAGATCAACAGAGGTGTAGTTTTTTTTTAATTTCTGGATAATCTCAAATAATACACATTTATCAGTGAAGAAGGTTTTTATAAAAATAAAGTGAATATATTTTCTACTATCAACATCTTGTTTTTATTTTGCACAGTAAATAACTGACAGAAAATAAAAAGACAGAAATTCAAGTGATTAAAATAGTGTCGACATACCAAAATGGTCAATGAAATATCATTTTAAAATGTAACATAATTTCCCTTGATTCTTTATGAACATAAAATGCACAAAGTGTATTTCAACTCGTGGACAGAGTATTTTTGTAATTCAAATAGTCTCCATTTTATGACATATAGCTTGTGTTCATAAGGAAACATGGAATAATGATCTTAAGCGTAATTTCCATGAGGATGTAAAACCTGATTGAGCCAAAGGCTTAATAAGCTCTCCCGCAAGTCATCTGGTATAGGTCCTATTGGGTCGACGAAACATGATATTGATTACTCATGTTTGTATTGTTCAGTAAATGTAAGTATACTTTTATTAATACTGTGACCTATGGCATTGCGCAATAGAACTTCAAAAAGTTTGAGATTCTTATGTTTATGCTACATATGTGTTTCGACAACAGAAACGCGTCAGGCGATTGTTCGAGAGGAAACACTATAGGAACTGTGTTTGGAAGGACCCGAGCTCAGCTTAGAGCGTTCTCTTCTTAGGGCAGATATTTTCTTCCCAGCAGGTTAGACTCCTGTCTCCTAAGGGGGAACAGGAACGCGGGGAAATGGAGCTCGCGCAGCCTACGTTTCCTCAGCTGATTCATATGACCTTCACGCGTAACCTTGGCAAGTTTTGGTTGCAAAAGTTTTGCTGTAGTCATCTCAATTTCCAGAAAAAAATAATTTTCTGGAGTTCTTCACCGATAAACCTATTTGAACCTTCAATGCAAAGAGCGCATGCACTTGGTCCTAGGATTTCACAAAATCCCACAGATTTAGAACAAGTATGAGGAACGGTCAGGGACAGATAATTGATTATGGCCATGCCACTCGGATCTCGTTCTCAGTCCTTCATTAAGAGTCGAAAGGGTCTCTGTTCGGATGTTTCTAGTCCAGGCATACCGTATCCCGGATGTGCGCGAGGAGCTAGAGCTTTGTAAAAGTGCTGGAGCACTGCGTGGTTGAATTTGATTAGGGTGTTGTCCGTCTAATGACTACGAGATATTTAGTCTCTCTCACGCATTTGTTCAACATTGTTGATTACATTCGTTTCGTCTTTTTTCACTAGATGGTTGACCAGGAATGGTAACCCACGTCCAGCAATTTGTTCTTTCTTCAATGAATAAAGGGATCTGCAATGACACAACGACATGTTAATTTACAATCATTTCCTCGTACATCCGTGAAAATATATTCTTAATACTATATCCGGTATCTAAAGCATGCAATATAAATATATGGTATGGAGTAAACTTTTGGTATTACAAAGTTGATACTTTCACTTAAGCATGCAGAAGTAAAGTATGCAGTGAGGCACATCATCATCATTGACCAATAGTTTGTAGATAGTGTCGTTAAAATAAGGGTAGACCTTCTGATATTGTTGTGTTTTACAAATCGAGATTTTTATAAAATAGTTTACACAACAGTTTATATACAAAGAAATAAAACATTAGAAAATACACCAGAGCGTTAATAATACAGAACTATAAGTCAAACGTTATATAAACGGACAACAACGGGACCCAGGGTAATCCAAATATATAAGGTAAGTGATCAGGCACCTTACACAACAAGAGACCAATCGGGATCGTAATGTTCACCTATTTCTGTGATTATCAGAGTTAGACAAGGAGATGACATGATTCCACTTAATTGAGACCGTGATGGTGACATAACATTTATTTCTTAATTTTCACAAGAGTTGAAATAACTTATGACAAGGTGCAAAGACAGGAAAAAATGCTCCATGTTTGATTAATGGAAATTTGTGAAAAGTTGTTAGACGTTAAACGAGGAGGTTGTCATTTTGGATTGTGAATCAACTCGAAAAAATGACAGCAGCACTTCAAGGCCAGGGAAGCATTTGCATATCAACTTTGGTTACCGTGGGCCTGGTAGGAATTTGAACTGAATGTGCCACAGTCAAATATACAAGATTAAATATCCTTGGTAAATGGGTTAGTCATGCCTTATTCGGTCAAAATCCCTTAAGGTCTTCCAGAAACATGCCGAAATGTAAATATACAAAAGTTGTTAAAAATGTCCTCCTACCGAGTACCCGGAGAAAACCCACGTGGTCGGGCAGGTGACCCCTACCTTTTCATTTCCGATCGGGGAATCGAACCCCGGCCGCCTTGGTGAAAGACAAGTGCGCTTTCCACTACACCACCCGACGACACTCAATAACATTATGATGTACTTTGCAGTAACAATTGTAACAGAGGTAATTCATTTTCAATGCCTCCTCAAGGAGTCGAACCCGGGGCCTCCTACTTACTAGTTTACCGCTCTACCGAATGTCTCCCTAGCCGAGTCAGTAGGAAGCGGCTAGTGTTTAACCAGGGTGACAATCCCCCCCCCCCTTTCAGGAAATAACTCGTCCATAATTTTTCAAGGGTCATAGCGATTCTAGTGAATTGTCGCTTAGCATAGATGTCAATATTTCCCTAGCCCCTACGTGGGCACAAATGTACCATATATCATTATTTTTTCAATGCTTCCACTAGGAGTTGAACCCAAAACCTCTGGATTACTAGTCTTACACTCTACCGAAATAGCTTTAGAGAAATTCTCCCTAGCCGAGTCGGTAGGAAGCGGCTAGTTGTTTACCAGGGTGACAGTCATAACCGACACTGTAATTATGATTGTGTACGGGTATTTTATTGGACTAGATAATAAATCGGTTTTGGGTCGATGTATTTACTTTTATTCTATCACATGGTGTCATTTACGCTATCACAGCTGACGTCATTTACCCTACCACAGCTTGTGTTATTTACCCAAACCACATCTGGTGTCATTAATGCAATCATAACATGCACCATTTACCTTAGCATAGCTTGTGTCATTTACCCTGCCATAGCTTGTAGAATTTACCCTACCACAGTATGTGTCATTTATCCTATCACAACATGTGTT